AGAAAAAGTGATGCACGGTCTCTATTTCGCCACATAGACATAATTGGAGACTGGATAATAGACTTTCTATGAAGGTCAAAGTTCAGGGAGCTACAATCTAAACGAAGACGTGCGTGCAATATTTGGCCTATACGACTTCCTACATTAAATAAAGGGGAGGCTTTTGTTTTGTTTTTATTAAGGCACCGTTTAAAGGCAGCAACAGAAGATGAGTTTCTTTTATTTACAGGTAGTAAGTTATATTCTCTTATTGCAGAAGGAAGAAATGATGAGCTATATATTTGTGTCCTTGAGTTTACTTGTCTGTGATTTCTGAGGTGGTAGGACTCGTTGTGTTGGGGTATCAGATCAGGGAGATAGTTTGGAGTAATTCCATTGTACATTTAAAAGAATAAAACTAGTTTATGTTGTTTACGCCTTTCGGCCAGGGTATCCCATTTGAGGTCGTTAAGTAATTTACTAATATTGCATAATTTTGAAGCACCTGTTACTATTCTTGCTGCCTCGTTTTGAACTGCTTCAATTTCATTTTTTAACATGTTCGAGGAGTTATCCAATGTAACATCGGCGTACTCAAGGATAGGGCGGATAAAAGACATATACATTCTTTCCAAGCTTGAACGATTGAGGATCAGTGATCACATGATGCCTACTCTCTGCCAAGCTTTTCGCAGTATTATAGATATATGAGTATCCCATTTAACATTTTCAGAAAGAGTAACACAAAGATGTGTGTGATTTTGTACACGTTTGATTGGAATTCCATTCATTTGAATTGGGGGATGGTATACTTGTTTTATTTTTCTTGAAAATATCATGGCTTCTGTTTTGGACGGATTAAAAGTAACCAGCCAAGCCTTTGACCATGTCCTATGGTTTTAATAAGATTTATTGCCATGTTGAAGATATTTTTTTTTACTTTTTTAAGTATTAAATTTCATGATTAAGAGCCTTGACATGACATTTTCAACATAGTGGACACTATTTGAAATTTTACTTTATTCAAAGATTCCAAAAATGCATTCTTTTCTGAATCATTCAAGACAAATTTTTGGACAATGAAAACCTGATTTGAAACGCTATTGAACATTATTGGCGACGTCGTTTTATTTGGCAGCAGTGACGACGTCATTCAAAAATGCTTCATCCTACATGTATAAATGTATCTTAGTACGCAAACGCATGCAAAATTTAATATTGAAATTATTGACAATGTAACTCACATTTTTATAACGACTCTATTACACAAACTTTGTTCAAGATTATCATATCAATTGTAAGCCATCTAAAGTTCATGTATCGGCTTTGTATGGTCGGACAAATAGAGCTATACAAATACGTTAATACGGCTATGTGGTGGTAATATATTTGGCTTTACGCAGTATCCGGGTAACGTAAGATTGTCAACGAATTTTCGTCACCATCCAGAATTGTCCTTAGTTACATCACCTGGTCTGTAGTGTTCAATCCTGACAACGTTGTTTAAAGATACAGAGGATATTGCATGAGTGTAGGTTCAATACTGAATTTATGGAACGAGTTGAATTAAACTAAATTATATTATGTGAGACTCTGGCGAGCAAAATATTATTTTTTTCAACGAGTTCAATAAATTCAGAAATGAACCTACACGAATGTAATATTCTTTTTATCACATATCTAAATTTAAGTGCATTTTTTTCATTGACGCGGCTATAGTGTAAAGCTAACATTTAGCGCGTCTTTGTAGTATGTATAACGTAAATGACGACACGTCAAAATATTAGTACGGCCATGCAATACTGTTTTTCGGGAGTCGCAAAATCGGCACTGGTATGTGATAAATATCAAATATTTGAATTTTGCCTGATTTTACCTAAAATTGGTTATAACTTGTTATTTATGAATGGATTGTCTTCATACCTTTACATAATAATGCTTAGGACAAGATCGAAACACGAGGCTATCTGATTTGTACGAGGGGCGTAGCTCCAGAGTATTAATCAGATTGCCGAGTGTTTTGATGTTCTTTCTCTTTTGTATCATATTCAAACATAAAAACACGTTCCCTATTGTCACAATATGAAACCCCGGAGAAAAGTAACCAATGAACGAGCATCTAAATATGACATTTCTGTCGCTTTCCCTTTCTCTGCTGTCACAATAAGTAAACCCCAGCAAAACTGAGCCAATCAATGGGCATGCTCTGGAGTGCGGGTAACTAATACACTGTATCTGCATTCCAGTTAACGCACGGTGCATGTATATGCATACGATTTAACTCGAACACATTTTCAAAAGAAAGGTCCCCAAACTATGATACAAGGCCTTTATATAGACTTAATTGGCACATCAATGAACTTGATCAGTCACCCTGAAGGTCAAATTATTGAATTTCGCTAGTTTTTTTTCTCTATAATTGGCTATAAATGTGTTACTTATGAATGGATTGTCTTCAAACTTGTACGCAACTTTCATTAGGAAATGATCTTTTTGTTGAACTAATTGTTTATGACCTTCACTCATTAATAACCTTGACCTGGAAGGTTAAATTACTGACATTTTACTATAATTGTCTATAACTTTGTTATTTACGAATGAAATTTCTTTTATACTTGAGCACATCTGCCAAAAGGACAATGTCTTAAAATAGATCAAACCCAATTGTGACATTGTCTCGTATTTCAAGTTATTCACAGTTTTGTTGTTGTTTCTTGTTTGGTGGTTTGTTTTTTTCTTTCGTTTCTTGTTTGTTTGTTGTTTTGTAGTTCGGGTATATTAATGAATGTGGCTTTCAATTAAAATAATAGTTATGATAAAAATTGTCAAAAAAATGCAAAGTCAAAAAAATGCAAAGTGTAAGCAAAATGGTATTTTGACTTCCATACAAGTAATAATCACTATATTTGTACTAAAATTCCAAAATGCAAAAAAAAGATGCTTCAGCTATATGCCCAATAAATTACTTTTTTAAACTTTGTTGTTATTTTTCTTTTTCTTCTTTTTTTTTTTTTTTTTTTTTTTTTTTTTTTTTTTTTTGCGGGGGGGGGGGGGTATCATTTTAAGGGCCATACTAAAAGTACTGCCTGAATAGCGAAAAGTGCAGACCATGATCAATGTAAGGAAAGACAACTGTCACTTACCAGGATATTAATTCAGGTAAGAGTTACTTACCATACACATTGTAGATACTTAAACTACCAACTCAATGAAGTTGACACAGATATCGACTTTAAACATTCAGCTCGACATTCGATTTATCACTGTTGAGCTGGTATGTGTAGCTGGCTAGACATTCAGGACAACATTCAGCTCGACATTCGATTTATCAATGTAAAGCTTGTTAGACATTCAGCACAACATTCAGCTCGACGTTAGTTTTTGCCTTTTTTTGAAAGTCGAGTTGGGATGTGAAGCTGGCTCGACATTCAGCACAACATTCAGCTCAACATTCGTTGTTTTTTTTTTTTTGTCTTCTTTTTGATTGTCGAGCTGGGATGTGAAGCTGGCTAGACATTCAGCACAACATTCAGCTCGACATTCGTTTTTGCCTTTTTGTAAATGCCTACCTGGGATGTGAAGCTTGCTAGACATTCAGTACAACATTCAGCTCGACATTCGTGTTTTGACTTTTTTTGACTGTCGAGCAAGGATGTGAAGCTGGCTCGATATTCAGCACAACATTCAGCTCGACATTCGTGTTTTGCCCCTTTTTTGAATGTCGAACTGGGGTGTGATGCTGGCTAGACATTCAGCACAACATTCAGCTCGACATTCGTGTTTTGCCCTTTCTTTTGACTGTCGAGCTGGGATGTGAAGCTGGCTCGACATTCAGCACAACATTCAGCTCGACATTCGTGTTTGCCTTTTTTGACTGTCGAGCTGGGATGTCAATCTGCCTCGACATTCAGCACAACATTCAACTCGACATTCGTGTTTTGCCTTTTTTTTTGACTGTTGAGCTGGGGTGTGATGCTGGCTAGACATTCAGCACAACATTCAGCTCGACATTCGTTTATTGCCTTTTTTGACTGTCGAGCTGGGATGTGAATCTGGCTCGACATTCAGCACAACATTCAGCTCGACATTCGTGTTTTGCCTTTTTTTGACTGTCGAGCTGGGATGTGATGCTGGCTAGACATTCAGCACAACATTCAGCTCGACATTCGTGTTTTGCCTTTTTTTGAATGTCGAGCTGGGTTGTGATGCTGGCTAGACATTAAGCACAACATTCAGCTCGACACTCGTGTTTTGCCTTTTTTGACTGTCGAGCTGGGATGTGAATTTGGCTAGACATTCAGCACAACATTCAGCTCGACATTCGTGTTTTGCCTTTTTTTGACTGTCGAGCTGGGATGTGAATCTGGCTGGACATTCAGCACAACATTCAGCTCGACATTCGTGTTTTGCCTTTTTTTTATGTCGAGTTGGGATGTGATGCTGGCTAGACATTCAGCACAACATTCAGCTCGACATTCGTGTTTTGCCTTTTTTTGACTGTCGAGTTGGGATGTGAATCTGGTTCAACATTCAGCACAGCATTCAGCTCGACATTCGTGTTTTGCCTTTATTTGACTGTCGAGCTGGAATGTGATGCTGGCTCGATATTGAGCACAACATTCAGCTCGACATTCGTGTTTTGCCTTTTTTTTGACTGTCGAGCTGGGATGTGATGCTGGCCCGATATTCAGCACAGCATTCAGCTCGACATTCGTGTTTTCCTTTTATTTGACTGTCGAGCTGGGATGTGAATCCGGCTCAACATTCAGCACAACATTCAGCTCGCCATTCTTGTTTTGCCTTTTTTGACTGTCGATCGGAGGCGTGATGCTGGCTGGACATTCAGCACAACATCAGCTCATTCGACAAACTATCGGGCTTTTCACTTTACTGTGTTTCACTTTGGTGATCGATGTAAAAATTAAATACATTTATAAATCTTTTATTTTAAAGTACATTTAACGTAATACTTTAAAAAAAAATATATATATATATATCATATTACACTATACTTTGCAAAAGACGCAAATACTATCTTATATAATTATGATTTAGACACTTATTTCAAACTTATTTAAGATTCAATTCAATTTAATATATTCATATGTGCTCGTATATATTCTTGTGTTTCGCGAAATGACAAAATATGACACGAAAAGTTATATTGCCTTTTATTTTGTATGTAATGTTTGGATATAATGTTATCCACTTACATCTCTGTTTTGAAAAGCTACTCGCACCAGTAGAGCTGAACACTCTCATTAAGATTATAAAAAATAAACCTGTTACTAAGTACTACATATTGAAACTGGTGTCATTATACATTTGAGCCGCGTCATGACAAAACCAACGTAATGGGTTTGCGACCAGCATGGATCCAGACCAGCCTGCGCAGTCTGCTCAGGATCCATGCTGTTCGCTATCAGTTTCTTTACTTGTTATAGGGTCTGTAAGCGAACAGCATGGATCCTGATCAGACTGCGCAGATGCGCAGGCTGGTCTGGATCCATTCTGGTAGCAAACGCGCTATGTTGGTTTTGTCGTGACGCGGCTCATTTAACAATGAACTGTTAATGACACGTTTATATAAAATATGAAGTTGATGTAAAATAAAAACACAGAAAATGGATAATAGCTGAACAAGTCTATATGGAAATAAGATAAAATAAAGAACACAGTCAACTTTATTTTGTATTTTGCAATAGTTTTATTACAATTTTAAAGTACTAAGTAAATCAACCATATCTACAAGTATTTTGAAAATATTTGAAAGTGATGTATTATGTTGTTAAAATACTGTTTTTTGGTAGCTTACACATAATGTGGTTTTAAAAGAAAATAAAAAGATGTATATATTATATTTATTTCATTTCATCAATATTTGTGATGTACATTAAAACCTGGCTGCATGTTTAAATGGATTGCTCCGATGAGTGATTTTGATATTATTTTTAAAGTTTTGACTTGTTAAATTTGAAACTGTCAATTGAAATTTCTGAGTGGAGATGTGGGTGTTTATTTGAGTCATTAAATGATGAGCAAAAACACGAAAACTAATGCGAAATGCTCAGCAGAAATGTTCGGTGGAGTAAACAAATCAAAATGTTAATCGGAATATTTGTGATATTTGTATTGTCTTTGGCAGACGAGAGTTTATCGTCTGCGTTAAGCGGAAATAACTTTTCAAGTATATTGTCAGAGTGTTCCACTAATCAAAAGGTACGTAAATTCTCGTATTTAACAATTCTGAATTTAATGAATGGTTTAGTCTAAATTGAAGGATGGACCAGTCCATTTAAGATATTTAGCGTGGTTAAGGTTAAAGTGTTGGGGACACTTTCCAACTTTACCAATGAGGCAAATGCCTCATCAGCTCAAGTGTCCGTCTATTTATCATAAAAATGCATGATTATTATTATTATTATTATTATGATATTATAACTATTATCATAAATATCGGTAACTTATTACTATTAAAGTAAAGACTGTAAAAATAAAACAGAACATAAAAAGGGTGGGTGGGACGGGAATATGTATGCTTTCATCTGTCATTTTACGAATTGTATTCTATCAAATACAGACCTCGAGTGACGCTTTTACACATATACTCCCTTATATACAGTACACGCACGTGAAAATCGTTCGAAATAATAAAGGAATGTGCAACAGAGTAAATCAAATTAACGTAAAATCATAAATATTTGCTATAGATATAACAGATACCATATACTGCGTTTTGTTCGAAACGAAAATCATTTCATTTTATAGGTACAGGCAAACATGGTCCCTAAAGCAGGAACGGCTGACATTGAGGCTAACATCACTGCCACTTTTTATGTCGGTTTAGCAGACGACAGTTCCATTACCGGAAGTGCTGTTACCGGAAGTATAGAATGGATTTTCAATGACGGTATCTTACAAATCCTTATCATTCTTAAAGTACACCATATTACTTCATTTTACCACATGGCTTTCCAATTATGTTGGATTGTTGGTTTTAACATCGATTTTAACACATTCTTGGTCATATCACGGCTTCGATATCACCTTATGAATTTCTACGCAAGTGGCAAACGATACACCTCAGAAATTCCCTGTATTGGACACTGTAATGCCAAAATGATCCTATATTGGACAGTTGAATGCATATGACATTATTATGAGCAGTTGATTATTCAACGTATATCTTCATCTTATATAAAATAATAACTTAATATGTATATAGATAAATCTGAAACATTTAGTACATGTATTTGCATGCGTCATTGACCTTATGCTGTTGACGTCAATTGATTTGATTATGTTAACGTTGGTTTAAATATATTTATTTAAGCTCGATTGCGAAACAAGTTCTTGCAACTTATATTAATCACTTTCGAGTCTGCTTCCTGGAACCAACCAGTACTGGTGTCATATGAAGAAACATGGTCGTGACCCGAGTAGGGCTCGAACCCATGATCTCTGGGTTGAGAGGCAGACAACGTTAACGTTAATTGATTTGATTATGTTGACGTCAATTGATTTGATTACAGTATGCTGACGTCATTGAATTTGATTATGCTGACGTCAATTTATTTGATTACAGTATGCTGTCGTCATTGAATTTGATTATGCTGACGTGAACGTCAATTAATTTGATTATGCTGACGTCAATTAATTTGATTATACTGACGTCAATTAATTCGATTTTGCTGACGTCGGTTGATATTATGCTGACGTCAATTACAAAAATGATGCGCAAAATCTGATCGATCCTAGCTTTCATACCTTTGATTTTTTTCTTTAAAATGTTTATCATGACTGTTAGCTTGTACGCTAAATGGGATAAATTTTATATACATGTAAAATTTTCAGAAACAGATACCACGACACTGATAGTGAAGGTGTTAACTCTTGTCGACGGTCAAGTTCAGAGTATAGACTATTATTTGCTGTATGTTGATGACGGGACAAATGAGTATAGTGTGAGTAAAACCATGTTAAAGTTCGTTGATAATTTGTAAATGCACAGATAACAGTTTGTTTTGTTTTAATTTCTTTTATTCATATTTGCTGAACTATCAATTTAGTTCTGGGATAAGGTTTGATCTTCTTTTAAACATAATCATAAAGAATAAAAAGAGTCACAAACAATGACCCATAAAGAATGACTGGAGATTGTAAAAAACTTTAAAACAAAGAAAAACTGTATATTAAGATATCGAATGCTTTATTTTGAATGGAACTAATATTTAGAACTTTACTTAGTCTTTCTGGCTTAATTCCCAGGTCTATACATTATATTTCAAAGAATTATCTGTGAAATAGCCATAGCCATTCTCAAAAATGTATTCAAAATGTAAATCAAATTTGTATTTTTATGATTTAGTTACCGTCAGTACCTTAAAATTGTTGTTAAACTTTCAGGATGGTAAACATGCCGTTCTTAATTGCATAAACACACCGACTTCAGCGAACACTACCATAAAAGCCGAGGTTTACCGAACAAATACAACATCATGTGACTGTGACGTCATAAAAATGGCCGTCAAAAATTGCCTTCCTCAGTGCCAAATGAATCTAATATCCTCACGCAAATTTCACGTATCAAAAGGTATTTGTTCTATGGCCTCATCTTTAGAAACTTCTATTTCGTCTTCACACGCCTTAATTGTACCTGCATTTTATTTTTAGAAGTTATTATATAATACGTAGGTTCTCCAATGAAGTTGATAAAGTGATTTTACCATTAATTTCATAAAACTACGTTCAATAACTCATTATCTTTTAAAATTAAAATAGAAGCTGACACATGAATAGAAAACCTAAATCAAAGTACAATGTAACAAAGAACACCGAAGTAAAAATAAAAAACATTCCAAGAAATGTATTTGCAGGCATACGAGTGTTTTTATTCATATATTCTATCCAATACGACCACGACTTATTTTTCTTTTCTCACAATTAATTCAACTACAAATGTTATTTTACTACAATCTGATAATCTACTTTTTCAGATGCTTGTTTTCTCTACAGAGAAAATGATCAAGATGACTTACTTATGAACCTGCGAGGTGAAATGGTGGCAAAAGAAATTACCACATTTCATGGCTACTTCTCGAATGTCAATCCATTCTCGTCTGCACGTGTTTCTATATTTCCTGACGATGACCTCCACTTTCCACATGTTCCCATCCTTTCATTTCCAGTACAAATAGAAACAAATGGTGAAATATATTTCTCTGTTGAGACGGCAAACATGGGATATTTTGATTTTTACGCCAAGGTTTGATATGCAAATTACTTCATTCAGTTTGTTCAATGGGCATGTATTGCTTTGCTCTTTGGATTTGTAAGGACTTTGTACACATGAACTAACCAATTAAGCTCAATATACTAAATCCCCTTAATTGTCAATGTTGCCATAGTAATATAAATAACTTTCGACTGAAATAGAGAGCTTATTATCATTGTCCAATGAAAATGCATGTAAATCCATTTTTTGTGAGTGTGTGTGTGAAATATTTTTCAGTTACAAGTCACTTGCCCGGACGATTTTTTCTCTGATGATTACATCAGCGAGTCTATAAAAGTGAAACCATATGAGGTTCCAGGTAATATATCTTTACTTATTGGCTTGTCTTATATTCCTAAATACAATCCAATCAATTGAACAATCAGGGCAACTTGTAAATCAAAACCAAATTTGTTTGCACAATAACATTCGGCAAAAACAACACTGCTGTTGTTGTTGCTATTGTTAAATTATAACAACATAATTTTCTATCAGTTAAGATATCAAATAAATGATGATCAATTTATCATTTTATATTTTCCAGAAGTTGACATATTAGTTGTGATAAACTGATTACAGGATTTGCTGTAATGTGGCTTTAACAAATCATTTTTTTCGCATATAAAAAGAACTTGCATATCAGATTTGAAATAAAGCATTATAATTGACATAAAGACATTTGATCGTTCTGAACGTTCTCTATGGATTCTGTTTTTTTACCTCTATTTTATAACATATCTTTCACTAGAAAAAAATGGTCAAATAATATGTCTCATAACCTCTGAAAACAAACCAATGAAAAAATGAATACTAGCAAAACAATCTGGAAAAAATGGTGATCCATCGGTAGCATAAAAACAATACAATTACCAGAAAATTGCTGACTTGGTTTTATTGTGTCTGTACATGAGGGATGTCTAATAACTGGACCAATAAACGATGTCGTTACATTACCGCGAAATGTCTGTCCAAGATAAAACCAATGAAATCACTTGTAACATGTAACATTTGCTAGCCAATGAAATGGCCGTTGTCGTGTTTTATGACATATTTAAACATTATAGTTTGCATAATTTGTTTTCATATAAAACAATACACAGATTCTAGAGATAGAAATGATGACACAATATTTGACGTGACAGACGCTGCTAAAAGCGAACAATCGAGCAAAGAAAAGACTACTGAAATATTTTATGGTGTTATGATTGCATTACTTGTTGTGGCATGTGTAATAACGGTGACTGTCTGGGTCAGAATAATGCGCAGAAACAGTAAGTTACTTGTTTATTTTATTGTTTATAGTAGAAACAAACAGTGCTATCAAAATTGATCAAATTCGGTCGTATATAGAGCTAGTTATGTTTAAATACATGTATGCATCTATGTATTTTACAAACATGTTCTTGATATACTATTAGATTAAATGGTGTTATTGCTCACAAACATTATTTAAAATTTTCATGTTTTTCTTTGTCTGTTTACTAAATAATTTTTTTCCGTTTTAGAACGACGCTCTGGTTCCCCGTCTAGACAAGGAGTAGACAAAGAACTACAAACAAAACTTTGCTCAGCACCTTCAGTTTTGATAGGTAATTCATTATAAAATTAATTAAAGGCACTCCACTGAGGTTTTTGACATGTAGGGTCTGGAAATATTTTTCCAAGATTTGTGTACCATTTGATGTAGTTCTGGACCGATTACTTGTGTGCAAAACTTTACACCATTTCCTAGCTCCCATCTTTCAGTATAATCAATTTCAATGTGCAAAATGAACTAAATATGAAAAGCGTTGCAATGCTTTTCACTCAGTTTGGAATAAGAAACACACAAAATTAATTCTGGGAACATGTGACTATAATCTTTCGCAATTTTTCCACATTTTTAATGCTTCACAATGCTTTATTTAAGAATTTCAAATTCTTTTTTGTAGGCTTTTTTGCCTCTGTGAAGCTTCTTTAGTGTTTATTTCATGATATGTTTTTATTTTGACTTGCATCTTTTATATTATGAAAATCCTTTATAAATTCCTTCAATCAAAACTTATTTTGTGACCTTGCTAGTTAAAGATATTTTCTGTTTCCGATTTTTTCGTGTCTGTAGGAAAAGACGGTCCTTTTTAGCTTATTCGTCTGCTTATTTTTCTGACGAAACAATATAGTTAAATCGTCATGAAAAGTGTTAAAATTTTATCTTGTTAATTTTGTGACATTGTTCACAATAGCAACTAATACGCTATGAAAATATGACAGGATAATGGGAATGATTTTCTTTTTTTAGAAGGGAAGACCAGTGAAATGAACAACTGTTCGAATATGACAACAAAAACAAAGAATGCCATGATGTTAACACATCCTGATACAGTCAAACATGAAGAGGACGTTGAAGATTTAGTCACGTGTCTTAAAATGTACGAAATACAAGTTCATAACAGACCGGAAGTACATTTTCAAAATTGGCGGGATTTTGCTGAGAAAGCCGGTGAAGAATATAAAGACATTGTTATTGTTATGTCTCGAGGGCTAATAGACTTATGTGAAATATATAAAAGTAAAGGTAGAACTACATGTGTTGACAAGATTGAAAATGTTACAGAAACTAATTTACATCGCACCAAGCAATTAGAGCATAAACAAACTAGTGACGAACGCTGGTTTGAATTGCTTGAACAAAGGAATGGAGAGTATATACCATGTGTGGCTTTGGATAAAATAAGAATTGTTTTACAAGACGGCCAATCAGATGTCGGGATACATTTTGTGACTTTCTGTGATAAAGTAAATCATTGTACTTCCGGTGATTGTAATGAAGATAAGCTAAAAGGTTCTGATATTAGGAATTGTAAGCTTTCTGAATGTCCTTCCTTTAAACAAAATCAAAAACATCATCATTATCATCATCAACAACAACAACAACAACAACATCATCATCATCCTGAGCAGCAGCATTATTATCAACAGCAACATTTTAAACACCATGGCGATGACAACAGCAGCAACAGTCAAAACAATAAACATGTTAACAATCAAATGAAGGACGAGTTGGAATGTTTCCTTAAATCATCATATGATCACATAGCCGTTCGGGATTTTATTAGACATAACACGTTTTTACAAACTAGGAACACTTATTTTCACACTGTTTCAAGAAATGTTTTGAAATATTTATTGCTGTCTGGGAATGATAACGGTGTTGGCACTAATTCACTATCTCTAATATATGTTCTTAAACACATCAGATGATGTGTTGAAAATAAAATAACTTTCAAGGTCTTTTTTACTCATAACGAAGCACATAAATACTAAACACCTTACAAAATCAAAAAAAGAAATTAAAAATAAATAAAATGTATTTTGAATATGTAGGTGTATTAGTAATATATTTTTAACTTCTACTTTACATTTCAAGTATTGTTTTTAAGTCTTGTATATTTAAGTGACATTATGCCCATTCCAAATACTAATTCGCTTAAATTATACGAATTGCCAACAGAGCAAAACAAGCAAAATGTATTTCATTTGTATGGCAAATGAGTATTTTGTGGAAACTGTAACAACATACGAAAAAAGGTTTTTAAGAAATAAAAATAATAGCATTTACGGGGCCTTTAATGAATATTTAACCGTCACGTGATATTTTACATGTATAAGAGTCACAATCAATCATATATCACGTATATTGTCTCCTGTCCGTTTATATGTTTGTACATAAGGGGTCTAGAATGTGATTGTTTTTGTTATATTAAAAACAACATACTGTTATTTATTGTTGCTTTTCTTCTGTTCGTTTGTTGTTGCTGAGAAAAGTCGGTGTATTGTTAATTTGCTGTTGTTTGTTTGTTTTTTGTTGCTGTTTGTTTTTTGTTGCCGTTTCTATTGGTTTATTTTTTGTTTTGTTTTTACCACAATATGTGTTTTTGAGATGTAAAACTAAACTTTAAGCACTGACTTATATACATGTATACTAACGTGCATAAAAGAACGATGTGCAACAGTAAATCGACTTTGATACTGCTCGTGTTTTAAAGCTAAAAAGTTCTCACATGTGGTTAAAAGAATAAATGGGAAAACCTCTTAAATAGTCGTTAGTTAGAAGTTACCTAGCTTAACAATATAAGAAGATTAACTGTTAAAGTAAATTTTGTCATAAATCTCTTTATTTTCAGTGTCCTTTACAAACAAATTGTTTTTGCTCTTTTTTTTCTTTTTTTTTTTTATTACAAGATAAATAATTTGAAAAAAACTCTTCCTGTTACATTGTAACTGGTCTATTCATTTATGTCATTAAGGGTGGTGGCTTTTTTTAAAGATCGTATCTCTGACGTTAAAAAGGGATAATTGGTCATAATATTATCGTAATGTAGCAATGTCAAAGGATGTAGATAGTTCACTGATGCGTGATAATATTTAATAAATTATTTAAAATGTGAACAGGTTGACGTAAACAATAAAATGTAGATTTTGAGTGATTAGATCCCTACACTGACCTTTTATTTAAATAGCAATAGATTTGAGCACAAACACGGACATGTGCACTTTTGTTAAAAAATATATTGTGGTGAAATTCTTATTGTATCCACTTATCTGATAAATAAAATTAGACAGGTTAGGGATCTATGGATTAGAAATAAGAAGAACGACTAATATAACAAGGAAGAAGAAAAAAAACGTCGAAGAGATTGCTTGAGAACAAATCCAAGGATAATTATATAGGCATCGGTTTTAATCGGAACTTTTCGGCTCTTTCCGTCATTCCTCGGTAAATGTGAGGCACATTGGCTGTATCTGATTTTTGCCTTTTGGTACCTTGTACTTAAATATTTAAAACGACGTATCTTTAACAAAATATAATATAAGAAATAAATAAGTCCTTCATTTTCGCATCCATATTTTTTTGTTTGATGACTTTAGTTTGTTATGCATAACTGAATTATCTTAACACTATATCAAATTTATTATAAAAGTGGCAACTCCTGGCTGGTTCACGACTCGTCGTATAATTAAGTCCAGAGAAGTCAAATAGTTCATGAGCAAAAACATATACCGTAGCGGATATAACATATTTACAATACTGAAGGAAAGGCTCCTGAAAAACGATTCTTGTTTTATTGGGTGGTGCAACTTTACATTTAATACTCGTAATTGCACAATGCAATGTGTGTTCCTCCATTGTAAGCCATGTGTGCGTCGCGATGGCTCTAACTGGACACCGTAGAAAACACACCAACACACCGCAGTGGTAAACATTTAACAATGCTAGCTCGTGATATTAAAACTGGCTTATAGATACAATGTATATTCAAAACAAATCATCATCATTTAAGCGTACACTGTCCATGTCACTCTTTAGTTGCTTATGTTGACAACTATGCTGTAAAAGAAGAAAGAATCGAATATTTTATAATGTTATTCAAGGACCTGCACATGTCAAAGTTTAGAACATTGACATCTTTTCAACTACATGTATCAAATGCATTATTCAATACTATCATTCCACTGTGGGTAATTAGTAATAAAATTAATGCATTAACCATTTGTATGTTTATCGTTATCAATTCAGTACAAGAGGAGATGCCATTAAAGTCTTATTTTTGTATTAAACATGGAACCATTTTAGCAAATTTTGTAAAGGACCACCTAAAGATCATTTATGCAGAGGTTCATTAGTTCATCTGAAGCATGGTTGAAAAGTAGATGTCACTCAAAGTTACAAAGTTTTGTGGGCGGACGGACGAACAGCGAACGGTGATTGATGACAATAGCTCATCTTGAGCACGTTATATCTGGTGGGGTAAAAAATTGTATCATTATCTTAAATGAATGATTGTGGCTTTACTTCATATTCAAATAAACATTGATTTTATAAGAAAAAGAGAAATAAAATAGTTAAATATTAAGTTATTATTAAGTTATTATTAAGTTAAAGATTTAATTAGAAAATATTACTTACATATTGTTGCTATCAGATACCGGCGTTGGATATTGATATTGTCTATACGTTTACGTCTTTTATAACGTATAATAAGAAACGCCGGCACGGCAACACTAACAATTACGATGGCAACGAAACCAATTATTAAATAAATATAGGTTTCTGAAAAGAAAAAAAAAACATTATTCTTTTATCATATATCATTCCAATACTCTGGAGAGATAGTTTATTATAATCTGGTACATAAAATGACGTCACTTATAAGTCCCGCCATAGTCGCTTCACAACAGTATCAACATCAAGACAGTTCAGCGGAGATTTGCGTATTCTGGCAATAAAGAATCTCGAAAACAAGGTAAGAAAGGAATCGAGTTAATTAATTCACTAATTTAATCTGGATTTGATTTTCTGTTTCCCTTAGTATAAAGAAGATGCGTAAAAAGTATAGAGTTGATAAACTCAAAACATGTTTATATCCGGTGTACGGTCGAATACCGTGTGTTCAATGTGTGCAAAATATTTAAAGAAAGACAACTCTTGCGTATATCTCTGACAGCGTTTATGAGCAGTTGTCTCTTTATCATGTAAAAGTTTCTGTTTCAAATAAATTCTTTTATTATATACTTATAAATGAAATATTGAGAAATATTGATGAAATAAAATGCGTATTTTCATTTTCCGTATTTTCACTGTAAAAATTTATTTTTCACTGCAGTGAAACATATTTTCCGTATTTTCACTGGTGTCTTGCCGGACTACTCTCTTTTAAATTCTACCAGCACACAAAATTTAAGGGAAAGTTTTTCAAATTTTATCGCAAAAAAGAGAAAAATGTACATAATAAACAGAAAATTCAAGTTTTTTCTATAAATACATGATTTATTTTCATCTTGTGGCATGAAAATTACCATATTTCACTCGTGGCTACCGCCACTCATGAAATATTTATTTTCATACCACTCGATGAAAATAAATCATGTTTTTATAGAAAAAACTTGTATATCCTCTATTTATTCATAATAAGTTATTTATTCATATTTGTTGTTGTTTTTGTTGTTGGTTTTTTGTTGTTGTTGTTTTTTTTTAAATAGACATTATATAAGAGCCTAATTCTTTGTTACGCAGACAACATCATTCATACGAAACAAGATCAACCATTGCATTTGGCTGTCATACAAATTACATACATGAACCTCGTTATTTAAGCAATATTATACATTTTCCATGTACACTGTATGCAATGTCAGGCTGAACTAACGCAAGGACTAATCCGCAACAGAAACAGAAAAATAGTGTTTAAATTAACGCTTAGTTCCAGAAAATTGTGTTTTCTTTTCGAAAATTCTAAGATGTTATATCTAGAATGAACAAATCACCGATTCAAAAAGCAACAATGCATGCGGGCCTCTTGCGGGTAAGGGCTTTGAACCAACAACGAAATCAGACCAATGGTGTTTAACCTATAGGCTCCAGAATATTGTGCTTTTTACGAAAATTCTATGATTTGTGTAATGTCAACTACTATCGCGCAATCTAATTGCGAAAGTATCATTTTTTTACTTCTATGGACCAAATTAGGATGTTGCCTAAACATTGAAACATTTAAATTCATCATCATGTGAACAAACATTAAATAGAGGTACATATAAACATGTATTTCTTGAGATGTGGCCTGTTTTTTCCCTGTTATAGCAGACATTGTTACAAAATTGTTCACAATGATTTTCGGAAAATGTCAAAAAAATAGATAAGAATTTGTCCAAGAAATAAAAGCTATAGGAAAATGTTATAAAGTATATTCAACAAGAACTTCAGTTGTAGCATTGTATCATAGTTTTGAAACCTTTTCTACGCCCCGGTCGTACAAATCAGAAAGCTAAGTGTTTCCGTGCTTTTTCTGTTACTTGTATCAACGATTGAACGTATAACTTTAGAGTTTTAATCATTTATAACGCAAACCCTGCTTTGAAACGCAGGAACTATATCAACTTGCAAAATGACATAAAGCGGTCGCCATAATAAGCGGACTATTTATATTGTTCATTGTTTAAGTCCTCGTGTACTAGTAACTTAAGCCTTACAAATAACACATGATATGTTTAAAATGATTGGAGAATCAATTATATATTATAAAAAAGGTATAATCATAGCGTTTTTGGTAAGGAAATAAACTTGCTGTAGTACTAAACGGTGCATTTTGTAAGGTATTTAATTTACATTAATGGATGATTTAGTTGAGTGCAGAAGTACCAGATTTAGTGCCAAAAACAATCAAGATTATAATTTGTTGTAGAACAATGTCACAAAAATGTTGAAAATTTAAAAATCCCGTCTCAGTTGTTCTCTACAATTCCATTTTTTTCTTGATGTAAACTGTATGTTTAGCGAACGTCATGACGTCATCTTAATTAAGTAAATTTTAAAATTGGAGTAGTAAAGGCAATTATAAATGTAAAATTTGTCTGAAAATATGATTTTTTAGTATTTTGTAACAATCTACAGGTAAAAAATATACATGTACTTGGTTGGAGAGTCATAGGTTCTATAACCAAATAAAAAACAAATGTTTGTTGTTTTTCCAGACTTTATACCAGCATTTTAAACATAATTCCCATAGCAACTCAGTAACGTCATCGTCCAAAAACATTCGAATTCTTGAAAGGTGTCCAGAAAAATTGTTTTGGTGTAAAGGATCATTTATAATTATTTTGTTGAAGTTTCCACATTTACGCATTTTCTTTTCTTTCATCAGGAAAACCTATGTCATTCTTTGTGTCAAAGTACTCCAATTTTCACTAATTATCACGCTGAATAGATTTTCTGTGATTCAATTAACAGATAATAAAGGAAGATAATTACATTCTCAATATTTTTTGCACTTTTGAATATTGAGTTCATAGACCATGTTTATGACCTTCTTTATTTTGTTACAAAAAAGGGCAAAAAAAATCTTTGTAGGCTTGTAACATTAAGCTATTTACTTCACCGCTTGAAATATTTTAATAAGGTAACCCCTCATTATATTTCGTGCTATTCTCTTCGAAATAAATATTTTGACAATTTTAATTGGCGTTTTAAAATGACGTTCAACAATAAGGTCTTGTATACTGACATCTTTTTTAAAATGGCACGTGTACCGGTATTTTTTTTTTTAATTTAAGTTGTTCTAAAACTCTAACTTGCTGAACAATAGGCAGACTATTTAAGGTGTTTCTGATGTACATGTATATTTTGAAGTCATTTAGCATAAGAATCTAAGTGAAAATGAATGAGAAAATTTTTCTTGATTTCAAAGAATAAAAGTCATTTTGAACAGGCTTTAGGTCTACGGGTGTAAATCTTTTATGGTTAATTGACAAAGAATCATTGTGAAATAAAAGATATTTTATTTTGTCAATATCAAACTATCCCGTATGCTCACAGTTAACTTATTAGCTTAGAATACATTTTATGATTTGGTATGATTTGATTTCAGCTTCTTACCGTTTGTTCGTTTTGTCTGATACTGCTTAAGAGTTGAGTAAAACTTACAAGTAAATCAAGACCAAATTTTAAGTCCATTTTAATAGGCCTACTCTTAAATTTTTTATAAAAGTTTAGACGTTCTTGATCACTTTTACAATCGATTCTACATTTATATGCATTAATGTGTCTGTATTTATTCTACAAAGATTATCAATAAAATTCTTCAATTTGAACAACTTACTGTCGGATTCGTATGATATTTTCAGGCGAACTTCGTCACTGTTTTGAAGACCCGGATGTTTGAATGTCACGTGCAACCTCGTGACACGTGCTGGACAAAATTCTGTTGTGTCTGTCGAACCGCATGTATATGTCTGAAATGAGATGACATCGTAAATAATTGTTATTTATCTATCTATCTAGATAAATCAATAAATCAAAAATATTCCATGAAGTGTAAACATATATTTTCAAATAACCATTGGTGCAACTAATAGTAATACATAAATATAAAGTTCCGACATAAAAGCTGGTAAAGAAACACAAATATGTAGTTTTACATGTTATTAAGTCTATGAATATATCTACTATATAAACAGTTTCCGGTCCAAAAAAAAATTGAACGTATTTATACATGGTGTATATGGTAGGTAAATTTCTTATCATCATCATTAGAAAATATAATCTATTTTTCTGTAATTAACTAATGAGTATACGAAGCGTCGCTGGGGTCAAAGCTTTTTATATTGTATCATGCACATTTTCCACCATTAATTATTGGTCAATTAACATTATAATAGCCAATCTTTAAAAGTATATAACCAAATCAACTCATTTTTGCACTTGACAGTGAAAAAAATGAGCATAATGTCACTTTAACCTAGTTCTCATATGAAGAACACAAAATAACTCAAACTTGCTTGAAAATCAACACGATCATCATTCTTGCCGTTATATCCATAGAGTTTGATTGTTGTTTCACATGACGGGATATCAATCGTTTCTAAATGAGCACATAGTTTCTTGGTCGAGTCGTTTGAATCTATTGTAAACGTACAATCATACAGCCTCGTTCCGTGGTAGGTGATCAGTAGGGCACCGGCCTTCAGACTGTATACTCCTCCACAATCGTTGTCCGATTGGATTGATATTGTTGTATCTATAATTATGAAAGTAAACGCTTACCCTACTGAATTTGTGTAATGGACTAGTCCAAATTTGAGTTTGGAAGAGTCAAATAGAGGTATTACGGAATTCAAAACCAAAGAGCCAATAACAATCGGAACATCTCTGCTATTATTCATGATAACCTCGGACTGAATACGAAATAAAAATAGTTCTATCATGTTGTTTTATATGTATTCTAAAACACAGGGTGTAATCTTTAATAATGTATAACGAATGTATATATTTGATATCCAAAGTCTGTTTCGATAAAATCACGATTGAACATATGCCTGAAAATCATAATCAATTTAAACATGTCACTTATGTACTACTCACTTATGTACATTATTACCAAATCCGACTAAAACAGGATGATATGTCGGTTTCTACAATCTTAAAAATAAGTACATAAATAATGTGCCGTTTACTACGGTGGCACAGACTATGTGTGTGTTTTTATTTATCTCGTGCGCACAACATAGTATAGTAATTTGTGAGTCCTTAAAATAATTATAGCAGTAAAGGCTGAGTTCGGACGAGAAACAAAGTTCACTTGTACTTAGGTTTATTTGGTTTTATCATAAAAACGGTTGGCTCATAATTAATATGTACCTCAGTAGAACCAGCTTGATAAAAGGAACCCAAGTCTGTGGCGGGAAAAGAACCATAATGGTGACGGGCAGTTCTTTTCCAAATCTCTTGAGTGCAGATGTTCTAAAGAATCTTTTTTTAAAACAAAAAAAAAATAGAATTGAAATATTAGCATCATAAGGCCGCGTGTAAATGTAAAGAAATGATATAAAAACAGATAATTACCACCAAACGCGAAGCGTGCATTTAAAATTCCATATAATACTAATATTAATTGCGTGTCCATTATTTGTAAATGCGTGTATAAACATTATTTCAACTAATTTATAAACAATTTTTATTTATCAACAACGAGTTCACACAAGTTCACCAATTATAACCGGATCACGAATTTATACCGGAAATTGTTAATTGAAATTCAATAGTTGCCCGGATGTCATGTGAACTACGTCAGAAGCACGTGCACTGTAGCATGCCAATACACGTAAATATTTATCACTACTCATATTGATCAGGATTATTTCGATAGTGTGAAAGAAACGGTATGTACCAGTCAGTAGACAAAAAAGAACACCCCACCATCAGGGACTTTTTCAAACTCCTGGTACAGGGCCCGGGCGTACATATATTTAAATCTCAGCCAAAGGGTACTGCATATAGGCTAAATGACAGAAGATTTCTTTCTCCCCTTAGACAGGCATCATCAGGCAAGATAAATGATATACATGTAAATATACATATATATTGCCTTGAGTTTAGATGACCGACTTCTTAACTATTTTGTGTCTTGACTGTTCGATATAACAATAGGCACTTGGTTTCGGGATAAAATAACCCTTTGAGAGGTTTGTAGAACTCAAATATAATTGAATGTTACAATTTTTTTAACGTAGATGTCTCTTTTCTAAAACCGTCATTTTTCCGATATAACTAAAATTTAGTAATATCGGAAAAATGACGGTTTTAGAAAAGAGACATCTACGTTAAAAAAAATGTAACATTCAATTATATTTGAGTTCTACAAACCTCTCAAAGGGTTATTTTATCCCGAAACCAAGTGCCTATGGATATAACGGTACAATGTACTTTAAAGTAGAGGGAAAATACGCAATATCACACATCCGTGGCGCTTAAATGCTACTCCGTAAAATGGTATTGCACGGCCGTGCATATTATTTTAACGTAACGTCATGTATGGCGTAACAATCTCCTACGCAGTGATCTCACAATCTGCAAAGGGAGGTAATCACTGTTGATCAAACAGTGATTACCTCCCTTGGCAGAATTGTAATCGCTGCCTTCAAAGACGTCACATGATGATGAAAGTCACATGACGTAACGTCGAAATTCAAATGTAAATATCGACCGTTACAAAGAAAATCTAACGTTATTTTTCTCTTTCTGTTTTATTTTTAACTTTTGGTGCCTACGTTCGATATAGTTTATCAAAGAATTATCAAAAGTATACAAAATAACGAAAATAAATTCAAAAGCTAAAAAAATATAAAATATCAAAATATCGTCTCGGTAGAAAATAATCTCATAATTTTTAAAATTATTTCTAAATATTCATATTATTTATTTTTATTTTATGCTTTTCAGTGGATTACTGATTTATCCGTGAAAATTATATTTGATAATTTCACAGTGAAAATTATCAAAATATAATTTCACTTTTTTCAATGACGAAACTACTTTTTTAAGATTTTCCCCATGTGTACCTCAATTTTATTTTTACGGACAATTCTGACAATGTCAGGCTGTTAAAAGAAATAGCAAAGCTGAAATAGATAAATAACTTAAATGTCAAAAGTAACACAGAGAGAAAACTTACTTCTATTCCTTCAAATTCCAATCACCAAATTTCGTCTCTAAATTTTTTTGTTTCGTTTTTACAGTCTGAAAAATACATTCCTTCCCCATGCAAAACTGCTCTTGATGACATTTGGGCATATTAAAGTATCCTACGAGCAATAACTGCCGTATGCTTTATGAAAAATTGAAAAGCATTGACAGCCATCACTTGTAAAATAAGTAAAACAACCCAAGTTTTCCATTTTCCTTGCTCCTTTTCTGAATGTTTTCACTTCTGTCAACACTTATTTTTTGTCCTTTACAATCCTCAAATAAGTTTTCTTTCTTTTAAAAAGGTGTATGACTAACAAATCCAAATTATATCCTTCTGAATCTTACACAATTATTTTCCTCCCATGAAATACACAACTTTAAAAAATGGCTGCCGTTTACATTTTAGAAAGCCAGGTCTAATATAAATTCGCAGTAAGTAACAGAAATATGGATGGATGGTTGGAATTTTCTCCTGCAAGAATTGTTTGAACAAGCGATCATTCATATTTTTTTAATAAAATGAATAAATATCACCGTCATTTAACCTTGATTGGCGGACTTATTTTTCAGCTCAAGACTTCTTGTTTTAAAAGAGAAATTCCGTCTAAATGGGGCTCTCAATGGGGGAAACAGATTTTAATATTAACGTTAAAATTATGGAAATTTCGTTTTAACTTGTTTTCAAGCATAAAATAAAAATAAAATTTGTCTGTTTGTTGTGTAAGATGTAATTTTATTTCATCTCGTGAACTATAAAAACAGTATTCTCACTCGTGGCTACGCCACTCGTGAGAATACTGTTTTTAAAGCTCACTCGATGAAATAAAATTTCATCTTACACACAAACAAACAAATATCCTCTATATTTATTCATAAACATTGTTAAATAAATGAGAGAAAATTTATCTGATAGATAAAAGCAGTAGATAAAACAATTTATGAAAAAATATAGTATATCAGAAATTCTGATATATCGGACTTTGGTGGCAGAGATCTACGCCGAAGGGGAGATCATTGTGTGGAGATTGGAGTTTGATAGCGTAAAGTCACGCTAAAATGTTAGCGTTACACTTTAGACGCGTCAATAACAAAAAAGGAGTATTTTTTCAGTTTTTTTATGTATAGAATGCAATGTATTCCTTTCGTGTAGATTCATTACTTAAGTTATTACACACACATTGAATAAAATAATTTTATACTCGACAGAGGCTTGCATAATATAAATTTAAACATCTTCTATTTAGAATTTAATATATAACAGTCACTGTGTTATCAGAGAAAAAGATCAGGATCAAATAACCCTGATTGTATTAAGAAACCGCACTGCACCCCACCCCCACCCCCATATATAAAGCTAAAATAATATGGTACCACGGATTTATATTACATATATATAAATCCGTGATGGTACATATACAAAATACATGTATAAAAGATAAGTAACTTTTAAGGAAACGCACCTATTTTGGGACCGACTTTAGAAATTACAATACAAAAACAATAATAAATGGATCAAAATAAGATTCAATTTTAGGATCAAGACCAATATTTAGACAAACTGCCAAACGCACATATCTTGTTATTCAATAATATTTTTGTCTCCAATTTTTTTTTTATAAACATACTCTTTCAAGTTAACATTGAAATTTGAATCTACGAGAATATACAAAGGTAAGTTTTTGAGATTTGTATTTTGTTCCTGATCTTGACTCTGATCCATAAGGCTGAATGAACACGGGGATTGGTGTGTAATTAAAGTAACAACCTAAAAAGTTTTAATCTTTGTAATTTTATAAGTACAACGGGCAGATAATTTCACTATAACAGTACCTTTTTGCTTTCAAAAAGAAATGAGCCGCGTCACGACAAAACCAACATAATGGGTTTGCGACCAGAATGGATCCAGACCAGCCTGCGCATCCGCGCAGTCTGATCAGGATCCATGCTGTTCGCTTACAAATCCTATAACGAGTAGAGAAACTGATAGCGAACAGCATGGATCCTGATCAGACTGCGCGGATGCGCAGGCTGGTCTGGATCCATGCTGGTCGCAAACCCATTATGTTGGTTTTGTCGTGACGCGGCCCAAATTACAAATCCTCGTTATATTTATTTCAATAATTTGACCGACCGATATCTTGAATTATTGCGATTGTTAATGACCGAGATCCAAAATAATAGATATTGTATCTTATATCTAATTTCTGTAATTAAGATACCCGTTTTGAGCACAAAATAACTTTCTTATTGTAGATAAAAACTAAAGACTACAACAGTCGCATTGTTAATGCATATCGTGTCTTATGACATTAACGTATTCAAAAAGACATTCACACTCAATAGAAAGGCCTTATCTGATCTGGAACAGAAATTCGGAAACCCGTTGGCAATAATTATGAGCTGGGCCATTTTCGTTTTTTGAAATCAGCTTTTCATTTCGTTTTCAGAAAATAAATGTAAGGAAAGAAATTTAATTAACTATGCTTGAATAAATTAAGCCATTTAATAGATATGGCTTATTAAAAATACGAAATTGGAAACTATTAATATTAACATTATATATAAAAATATATAAGTTGCAATTTATGGAATAAATAAAGAAGAAAAAAGAATTCATTAACAAATAATACCACGCACTGACATGTGCACGCCGTTATTGCATGACATATTGATAATAACCTAGCCCTACTATGAAATGAAAATATACGGCGTTTTATACGGAATCCCGTTATGGCCATCGTGTATGACTTAAAAAAAATCTGAAATGCGAAACGTGAAATTACAGAATTACGATGACGAAAATCTGAAAGCATGATCACGAAAAATAAAGTACAACGAAGAAATAAGAAAATTACCCCCCCCCCCCACACACACACACACACAATGATGAACACGCGAAATCCCCATTGCAGGTTCATCATCATGCGTTCGCATTTTCCAGTTTGCATTATTGTTTCTTCATACTTTCATTATCGTATTTCTGCCTTTTCGCGTTTGCATTATCGTTTCTTCATATTTTCATCACCGTATTTCCGCCTTTTCCAGTTTGCATTATCGTTTCTTCATATTTTCATCATCGTATTTCCGCCTTTTCGCGTTTGCATTATCGTTTCTTCATACTTTCATCACCGTATTTCCGCCTTTTCGCATTTGCATGATCGTTTCTTCATATTTTCATCACCGCATGTCCGCCTTTTCGCATTTGCATTATCGTTTCTACATATTTTCATCATAGTATTTCCGCCTTTTCGCATTTGCATTATCGTTTCTTAATACTTTTATCACCGTATTTCAGCCTTTTCGCGTTTTGCATTATCGTTTCTTCATATTTTCATCACCGCATGCCCGCCTTTTCGCGTTTGCATTATCGTTTCTACATATTTTCATCATCGTATTTCCGCCTTCTCGCATTTGCATTATCGTTTCTTCATACTTTATTCACCGTATTTCAGCCTTTTCGCGTTTTGCATTATCGTTTCTTCATACTTTCATCACCGTATTTCTACCTTTTCGCGTATGCATTATCGTTTCTTCATAATCTC